CGGAACTCGGTAGCGAGGAATAAAAACTGCCTGGGAGGAAGTTTGCTAAAGCTCCGATACGTTGCGGTCTTTAAAAGGCAAAACTCGTATTGCTGTGGGCTTCTTTAAAGTTCACAACTTTTTTTTTTTTTTTTTTTTTTCCCAGTGCCGTTCCTTAGCTTAAGCATCCGACAGCCAAAACTTTTTACAACCAGTTGAAAACCCCAACCAGCCTGCTGTCATCCCAACCGCTCTGCCGGTCTGTTTCTGCGGCTGGAGACCCGCCTGAAGCACCGGAGGGTAAATCCTTACCCTTCTGACACACGGACCAAGACGCCTGCGACCCAGAAGCACAGCTTGCTTTGGGAGGTGCCAGCCTGTTGTGTTAGGATTTCCCACCTAAAGCATGGAAAACTGGAGGTGCCAAAAACGTCCCGAACCTTGCTGGAGGCGGCTGGTAGGAGAGGTCGGGCAGGATTCCAGAGCACAGCCTCATAGTTGTTCACTCTCACATCGAAAGCTGAACAAACCCAACAAGCTGCTTCTCCCAGGCGAAAATATGTATTGAGAGGGAAGAGCAGAGGGGCGATGTGCTTTGTGCCTCTGGGTGCCAGGGCTTCAGCCTGAGCAGGCATGGCTGTTCCAGTGCCACAGACTGGTGATCTGGACTAAGGCTTTTCGTCTGTGCGTAATGGCTTTGGGAGTAAGTGATGCTCCTGTGGGGCCAAGGGACGTTTCTGGATGGGAGGTGAGGGCTGCGGCTTCAGCACGGTGTTCACAAACCCGCCTTGGGTTGCACCTATCCTGGTGGGTGCTCTTGGCCAGGGGGAGGCCTGTGCTGTGTGATTTCATGCCACTGCCAGGTGGGGTCCTGTGGACCCTAGAGCCATCCTGGCAGAAACCCTCCAGTACCTTGTGCCAGGAGGGTGCCAGAGGCCCTCCCTGAGAGACTCCTGCCACCACAACAGCAAATATGAAGCCCTCCTGCTTCACTTCTGGCTGTGCTGGAGGAACTGCTCTTTGACTGCAGCCTCACGGGAAGGACTGGCAGCCTCGTAACAAGCCCAGAGCACGCAAAATATTCTTGCCAATGCTCTTGAGCACCAAGGTGCTTTTCAAAACATAAGAAAGAAGGGAACCTTAACTCTGTTTCCACTTTGCTGTGTGTTGCATCTTTCTTTGACTTGGGTCTTTGCTTATCTGGGAGATGCAAGGGAATGACTCGGGGGTGCACTCAGGGCTCTAGTGCCTGTAGCAGGGAGATAATATGTCTCACTAGAAGCAGAAACTGTGGCTGCAGCCGGAGAAGGAAGAGGTGGACTGGGAACCAGCTAGGACACCCCCACCATTCTGGACCTCTCCCTTTCCCTGTTTCAGCTGCCTGACGTGCCAGGCGGTAAGAAGGCACCAGCTTAGGGCCTCTGAGTGGTTCAGGAAACTTGCAGCAGGGGTCTTCCAAAAAGGCAGCTCTTTGCTTTTCCTCTGCTTTCTGCTTCACACCGCATCTCTCCCTTTTCTAATCTGCTCTCTCATACCACATCCACCTTCTGCCCTATGGGGTGGCTGCCTCCCACCTAAACTCAGCCTGCTTTGCGCAAACAGAAAAAAGGGGGTACAATGAACTGGCATCTTGCTGTTCCTGTGGCGTCTGCCTGGATGGGTGATACGGGCTCAGAGCGAGGAGCAGACCCTATAGAGTGCCCTGCTCTTGCTAGGTTTTAAGTCCTCATAAGAAAATCTTTAAGATTCCTCATTTAAGAAACCAGGAAACCCCCTAGAAGTAGCATTTTGCCCCTCAGTTCCCACACCTCTCGAAGGGTCCCGCTGGCAGGGACACCTAGCAGCAAACCCCGACATGGCAGAGGGCGAACCAGCTGCGCTGCTGGGAGCAGGGGGGCTTGGCTGGCCCCACTCGAGGATCATCCGAGCCATTGGGCCGAGAGGGAGCATCTGCGGAATGGGGCGCGTGGTAGCCCAAGGCACGGCAATGGGACAGGGCATGGGGGTGAAGTTTCAATGAAAGAGTGCTTCAGCAGCGAAGATGGAGGCTCTCAGGAGGGTTCTGAAGCAAGCTGGTAGCTCTTGTAATTGCAGCCGAAATTTAAAACATAATTAAGGTGCAATCTCAGCTCTGAAAAACTGTTCGCTTAATTAAAACAGAATTGAAGTCATTATTGTGGGGGGAAGCAGGCTTCCTCCCCACCCCCCATCTACAGTTCTAGCAATATCGTGAAAGTTATATCTAAAAAATTACTCTTTAAAAATACGCATACTCACTGATGAATTATACACATAATAAATATTTCACAGAATAAGATAAGACTCAGAGACATGTTCTTAATAATCACATCATATCAATCAGCTCCTGTACAGCAGAAGAGGAGACAGGCTTGTGGGCACAGCCTAGCTCAGCTTCAGCCCTGGCTGAGGAAGACTTCTGCCATCAGTGTCAGTGGGAACTATGCTGCCAGCTGCGCCAAGCCTTTAGCTTCAAGTAGGGAGTTTGGCCTTTGGGAAGTAGAAGTGTTGCAGAGATCACACGGGGGGGTGGGGGCGGTGGAAATCTGCACAGTCCGCTTGCCCTAGGTGAGGAGGTATTTGCTTGGGACTAGAAAGGATCCCTTAACCTCACTTCCTATGTTTGCATTATATTTTTCATGTTATTTTTGGACAGGGTGCATTAATGTGTGACTCTGTGGTCCCTGAATAACCTGTATGTCCCCTGGCAAAGAAAACATTCCTGCCCTTGCTCTAGCTTATGCCTGAGTTGCAGGAAATTCTTCGAGGAAACATCTCCCGGCACCATGCTCCAAACACAATTGCTGTTATCTGCAGCGGAGTGGCTGAGAACATTTTAGGGTCGTGACTTCTGCATTTGAAGCGAAGGCTATTAGCAGTGTGCCTGTGCCACAGGCCATCGTGCTGTCCTGCGCAATGCAGACGATGGAAGGGAAGTAATCTCAGTCTAAGGTCGGGATGACGAGGGAATTAGTTCTGTCTGGTCTTAAATACACCTTTAGAAAGTCCCCAGGCACATGAGTTGCTTTCAAATGAAATCTGAGAGTCTGTAGAGATTACTTGTGCTGTAGAGGGGAAGTTCTAATATTTTTACCCAGTCCTCTTGTGCAAATTTTGGGGTAAAAGATGGAACATATAAATTTTTACACTGTCTCCAGTGCTCCCTCATACCTGCAGCAGCTATTTCATTTTCTTAGGTAATAAAGTGAGGGACCTATCTGAGGGAAATGCAGGACAAAAAAACTAGTGGAGGCAAACTGGCCTGGCTTCATTTGGGTCAAGAGAAATGCAGTGAAATATGCCTGGCCCAGATCTCCCTTGAGGTCTGTAATGCAGAACAGCAATGACATTTCTCCCATAGTAACAGGTACCGTTTCCTTCCTCCCATCACGTACAGAGAGAGAGGAGCATCTGTTCATTACTTATGCAAGTCAATCCTACATGGTGCTTTAGGGTGTAAAGTGATCTCTGCAGAAAATCCATCCCTACGGGCACCACTATCACGGAATAAGATGTATTATGGCTGATTTATTTTTTTAATCCAATGAAGCTTAAGTATTAGCTACTCATTTCTTAGGAAGTAATAAGAAACCAACTATCTAGCAGAAATAACTCATGGATGGCAAAAGGAAGATGGATTGGTACAGTTTTAAATACATCATTTAAATACGTGATATGACTTGCAGAGACATATTTAGATAGTGCAAGGACATGCATGAAATTTAAGCTTGGTTAATAGGAAGAGCTAGGTACCTCTGCAGAGCAATTCAGATGGTGCAGGCAGGACAGTAAACGTGGATGTGCTCAGAACCAGTCAGTGAGAAACACCAGGAGCAAGAACTTAGCAGAATTTGTTTTCTGATTATGGTCTTGTTTCCCTTCATGGAGAAATCAAGAGTTACACAGCAGCTTAAGGAGCCCAGTAGATGCTGGCTGACTACTTTCATTACGGATTCCCCCACTTGCTTTCTGGGTGACTTTAGAGGAAAAAATGACCATTTCATGCCTCAATTTTCCTGTGTGCAATAAAAGGATATCAGCATTTCACGTTCCCTTTAAAGTGGTCTGAAACAGAGATTAGACATCCTACACTGAACAACAAGAAGAGTCATTCTTGTTTGATGTGTCTTGAAATGAGTATGGCAAAATACAGCTCTGAAACTATCGGCCCTTAGATTTAGTATTAAAAAGCACCTCGATTGATCCGTCTTATCTGCAAATGCTACTCACAAAACCAGGTAAATGTGAACAATTGGAGGGAAAGCAGATTGGCAGAGTGAAGCAGCCCTTGCTCAACCAGCACATTTCAGTACATTATTCTTGGCTCTGGCTCCAGCTATTTTCAACAGCACTAAACATTCATTAGATTGAATCAAATGAACCACATTCTTTAAAAATAGCCAGAGCCTTGTCGTGCCAGTTGGAAAAAACAACAACTTTATTGGGTATTAAAACAGATCAAATAAATTAAAAATAAATAAATAAATAGAGTCATATTCCCTCCTGGCGCAAGGGAGCACAACTCCAAGGAGAGGTTTTTGGCTCCTCAGTTCAGCACAGTGGTAGGTAAAAAAAGAACATTCTCAACTAGCTAAAACAAACAAATTAAGAAGAATTACAGACAGTCCAGCACAAACTCCACGCTGAACTGTAATGTAGGCATATGTTCAGCAAATGTTAGAATATATCATTCCTGATCCCTCTGCTGTAAACATCGGCATGGGAAGGGTTTACGGCAACTTAGAAGAGTTGCCACAACCAAACAGCATCCTGGCCCACCAACCCTACTGTACAGCCTTAAAGGCCACAGCCAGACCCGTCTGCTCTGCCAAGATGGACCTCGCCTTTATGTCCTGCACAACCCATCTCTCCCAAACATCAGAAGTCCCCTACTGACACTAGCCTAACTTTCTTTCCTAATTTACAAGCCATCTTTTTTCCTTTCTTTGCATCCTATGAAAAAAAAAAGAATTTGCTTGGAGACTTATCCCCCAAAGTATCTTAAAAAAGATCATCAAATAAACAGCACGAGGTGGATGGCTGTAGAGCAGATTGCAGAATAAGATACGTACACTTGCTTTCATGTGATTCAGTCTGTTTCGAGGGAACTTAGAGTTGCTCCCAAGATAGTCACGTAGCTATAGTAAGCTAGGAGAGTTTCACCCGCTCTTGGGAGCAGAACAGACCTGCAGAACAAGTGCCCCTTCAACCTCCAGCCTAACTTTGCCTCTCAGGTATCTCAGAACAGATTCCTACATTGTCCAGTTCCTCTGGTTTCCTGGGCACAGGACCAATTCCACTATATATATAGGCTTCTTCCTAAGCAGTAACCGTTTTCTAACAGTGAGTTGCTTAAGAAAACAGTTAGAAGCTGGCATACAGTCCTGCCCCGCTGCCTTTCTCCAAGACCTCAGCGCAGGTTCATCTGCCCCTGGTCTGGCTCTACTGGCTTCAGCAAGGTCTTGCATGAGCAGAGAGGACTTGTCCGACCCACCAGCAGGACCACCAGGTGAGTTACACTCAGATGGGGCTGCAGCAAAGAGCCTCACCTCACAAACTAGTTTAATATAAGAGGCCCAGTAAGTGGAGCCATGCACCACGTTATGTTAGTACGGTACTAATCGGTTGCTGGAGAGCTATGCTGGATGGTGGACACATCCTGAACAAGCTACTGGTCAGAATAAAACCCTCAACCCTTCAGCAAAAAAGAGTGAAATAAAAATTTAAAGCAGGTTTTGTGTTCATTTTCTGGAGCTCTTATCTCCATTAGAGCAGAGACATATCTTTGGGAGTTACTGCAATACCCAATGATGGAAGACCCAAAGCATTAAAGTGCTGCCTTTTGGATGTGTTTTGGCTCCTGTCTTACTGTGTTGGGCCTCAGTGGGGAAATCATGGGCCTATCTCAGCCCATCACGGTCTGCTTTCCAAGACAAACAGGAGCCTCACCCACCTGTGCATGACAAAGGTGAGTTGTTGTTTTAGCAACTACAGACAAACAGTGGAACAAAAGTATTCCCGACCTGCCTGTCTCAACTTGCCTGAGGTTGTTCTATTGGGATGGTAGAAACCACAGCTAATTTTCTCAGCATTTCTCCTCCCTTAGAGTAAGCTGTTATGCGTTTTGTTTGGGTTTGGTTTTTTTTTAATGTAAGAGCATTCAGACTATTTTCCTGAGATTTTTTGCGAAAAAAATTGCAAGTTCTGTTCATCACCTATCCCCAACCACTATTATGGTTCAAGGCAAGCTAAAAGAAAAATTAAAAAACTGGCACACACCATTTGCTAGTTAGAGAGAAAATTTTCTCTGTTTGGCCAGTCTGGAGGAACTGGACTGGAATTAAAATAAAATTCAATGTCAATATTGTAAAAGCCTGCCTTTATTTGGGCCAAATTATTGCATTAACTGTATTTTCCACTTTCCTTTTTTTTCTAGGGTAGAAAGAGAATGCAGAGGAGTTCTTACCAGGCAATGTTTAGGATGGCAAAGCTTTCTGATTTACAATACCAGATCTAAGACAAGCATAAAAGAATCTGTAAAGCTGCCATTGAAACTTATAGCAAGTATAAATAACAAGGGCACACGTAACAGGCAGCCTGCTGTGTGGAGAATTAAAAAAAAAAATAGTTTTTAAGCTATTTTTATTAGCTGGTGGAATGACTGGCTAGAAAACAATCCCTCTGCTTTTATCAGTCTGGAGCACCTCTGCCCGCTTTCATTCTTTAGTGTCCACAGCCCAGCAATGATGGCATTTTTCGGGTGCTAGCTCTCTGACAGGCAGGATTTCTGCTGATGTCCCGTACAGAAATGCTGCTCCTGGGAACGCCAGTGAGCGATTGCTAGTCTAGCACCAAATACTCTAGAAATCCCCCTTCTGCTTGGTACCATTAGGCATCACTGAAAGCTGGACTTCCACACAGTGGCATCTCCAGTCACCACAAGACAGAAAAAACTGTTGTCTTTCTGTGCGAGGGACAAGTACACGACGTCATGGAGTACTTTTTAATTCCTATGTTCAGCCGACCTCTCGGTATGTAACAGCTCCACATTACATGATAGTTCCATGAGCACTTTGAGTTGTCAAGAGCCAACAGCCCTGCCAAAACCCTTTGTTGCCTTTTCTGTCTCTCCCAGGTGCCTGCTCCTTCCTGCCGCTTCCCCTGTGCCAACAGAAATGTTTGTGCAGCCTCACAGTGAATCTGATCTGCAAACGGATCCAGGTTAAATTTAACCTAGGGTGGAAAAAAGGTTCATTTTAGCCCAGATCGGTTCCTTGATCTGCCTTGGTTGTCCTGTCATTATTGTTCAGACTTTGGTACAAAAGCCTCGAGGTATATGACTGTTGCATCACCTCTACCGTTGTACCATGTCCCAGTCTCAGTGATCACCCACTGTGGTAGATCCTGGCTGCTCAGTTAGGCAATGGGTCACATATCTGATACTCAAAGAGGTTCAACCTCCCTGTGTGAGACAAAATGGGTACTTCCATCTGACCGACGATCTTTTGCTCAGCAGAGAGACGCACCAGCCCCCAGTGCTGATGAGATCAGGCCCATCTCTGTTGTGCCTGCATGTCCCGTAGCATGTTTTATGATGGCAATCAGTGAGCTGATGGGGAGCGGAATGTGCATTTTTGCATGTTTACATGCAAAAAGACACATCTTCGAAACAAGGAAAAGCTGTAGCAGATTGAACATTGCAGAACGGTACAGCTCCCAGGTGAAGGCTACATACAAAGCAGTTGTCCTGTGGAGCAGCACTCTGTGTGCACAGCACAACTACAGCAGATTTGTCTGAACAGATGTGCATGGCCATGAAGACTACTGGGGTGTAAAGCCTGAACTACCTTTCCCTGCCATCCATGCACAACCCTTTTTTTTTTTACTAAGCTTTTTCACGGGTTAGAATAGCCAGTCTGTGCAGCAAGAGCACCCTGATTCCTTCATACTGCATGAAACTGAACTTGATTTTTGCAGTCAGTGGAAAGAAAAATGTACTTATTTCATCGAGTAGGAGTCCTGCAGAGTTAATAAATTCTTCAGTGCTTTTCTGAAGGATGCCATTTGGTTCTTAAGGCCAGAATCTGTTCTCTGATACCTAAATGCAATTCCCATAGATTTCCAAGGAAATTGGGTATATATTCCTTGGCAAAATGCAGCTATTAACTTAAAATTCTGAAGATACATGAAATCTGCAGAGAAAAAAAAGAGCTGGGTATAGTCTGGAAGGAGCAAAACTGAAATGTATGAAGACCTAAAAATAATTTTTCAAAGCCTATCTTGAGTTGAAAGATTTCAGTGTTCCTCCCCAGTCTAGAAAACAGAAAAAATGCCCTTGAAATATGAACACTGAGTGCTACTATTTAACTTGAAATCTCTTTGGCTTGCAAAAGCCAAAAATAAAAACCTGTAGCTTGGCATCAGGCAGTTTAATGTTATTGGTGAGAAACATGGGACCTTAGGTTCACTTCATGACAACAGGAGCCACCAACACACACGAGCTCCAAATTGCCTTGCTTAAGAGACGAAGTCAGGGCTGCTCTGTTACGTGAAGCGTTGGATCGTGTATTACTGTTGTTTCTGTTGGAAGGCTCACCTTCAGGGAGACTGGAGGCCATCCCAACCTTTCCTGCAATATGCAAGCAATTATCTCTCTCTATTTTTACATATTTAATACAAATTTAATTTGTATTTTGCAAACTCTAGAAAGAAGAAAAATTACTTATTTCACTGCATTACCATTCTGCAGAAGCAATAATTATTCAGTGTGTTTGTGAAGAAAACATGATACATGCGTAAAATGGTGCCCTTTAATAAATGCTCAGGACAACCAAAGACAAGAATGGTTTGATCTCTTTTAATAAAAAAGGGAACTGTTCTTTAGCTTTCTGAATGGAGAGAGACTTGTTTAAAAAGATTTAAGGAAAATCTAGTCCAAATATGGACTCTGCCTTAAAGAAAAGAAATCTTAAATTCTGGAGTTAAAGGCAACATTTGTAAGAAGAGATAACTTCTTTTATGAGACCAGTTAATATGAATGGAAAAAAATACACTGGCGTTTATGTAAATAACCTCTTGCCCTAAACTTTTAGACCATCATAGTGACAATAACATTAACTCCGCTTTCTAGAATTTGGGACTAATCTGAACTAAACAAAGTTGACATTGGTTCAGGCTCTTTTGCACAATGTGTAATCTGGGAATAACTGCTCTGACAAAATGCTTGCGTAAATGACAGGAAAATCAGGCTTCTTGTGTCAGGATCAATATATCAAAGCTGTGCAGTGTGCTGAAGCAGATATACAGAAACATAATCCCAATTACTTGAAATACATTATTTAATACATATGTGCTTTGCATTGCAGTTTGCCTATCTCTGGCTCAGACTGGTCAGGGAAATGGGATTTTTAGCAGAGCTAGTTCACTTCAAAATATACTCATAAAATATTTGTTTAAGATTAGCAACGGCAGGACCAGCCCAGCACTGTACAGGCCTTGCAGGGTGGAAATTCTGCATTTAGGATTAGTCCCTTTAACTGCCTGGAAGCTGAAAGAGTGAGGAGGCAACATTTTGGGAAAGCCAAAGACTTCAATCATTAGTATTTGTGTTACTGCAATTCTTGCAAGTACCAGTTAGGTACCAAAGGCTCAACCTTTGTGATGATGCCATTAAAAAGTACATCCACAGTCTGACATTAAGTTAGCAGGGATCTCAGGCATGAACCCAGAACCAGCAGTCTATTTTTCCTTCATGCTTAAACTTGAAACATTTCAGGGAAAAGGATCAGACAGAAAGTTACAGCATATTCAGCAAGGCAGAAAACCACGAGGAACATAATAATGAATGGTGGCTCATTGAAGGTGGTTGCACAGCAGAAAGCCCAGGCAAACAACCCAGATCCCACTCTTTCCCCTGCAGTCCAAGATGGATTACGGACCAATGTCCATCTGTGAATCTGCTAAATTTAGTCTGGCCTCTGAGGAAATGCAAGACGCAAGCCATCCACATGCTCCCGTCGCTCTTGCAGGATGACCTTCCTCTGAGCTCGATGGGCCAAGCGCTAGAGAACAACTCCCCCCTTCCCACCACACTACATGTATTTCAAGTCACACGACTAAATACAGAGGAAATAGATTTTACTCAAGGAGCTATTTTTATACCCTTCCTCCAGGCTGCTTGTTTTTCACTAGTGGGGCAGAGGCGTGGAGATGTTATGGCTGCTGGCTTCTGCTCAGAGCTCGCATAAAACCTCATGCTACAAACTGAACTCTCTACTCCGCCTGCTTGCTCCGTCTGCAATGCACCGAGGTACCACAGCTCCAAGAAGGAGAAGAACCAGAAGGCATCTATAAGGTTCCTATGCAGCTGATAAAAAGAAACAGGCATTATATTCAGACCATTTTCAGTAGGTGCCTCCCCTGGATAACTGTGCAGAGACCCCTGGATAATTCCTGACCTGCCCTGGTCTCTTGAACCTCAGCACCACAGCAGGAGCCCAAGTCCTTTCTCAGTACAACCATCATTGCTCAGACCCAGTCAGCACTTTTTGGGGAGTCCCTTCAATGGCCCCTCTCTCTTCTCTGAACCTGCTAACTCAAGGGAAGGCTGAGCTCAGCCATTTTGTGAAAGGACATGTGCTGGGATCACTGGGAGAGCTGGGGGCTAGGCAGGACAGGCCTTTCCTGGATTAGGGACCTTTGCATGGAAGATGCCTCTGGTCTTCCCCAGGCCATATGGGATGCTGCACAGTCCACATTACTCCAGGAACCCACCTCACTTAATGAATTAGAAGTATAGTATTTACTCAGTAGAACTGTCTTTGGCCTTTGTGATGTCTCAATAGTTGGGACATCAGTATGTGAGCAATAAATATTAAAGTCTCCTTTTCCAGCATGTCTTTGAAGACAAGTTGGGAAAATAGGACCAGTGCAGCCTTGTTTGTCCAGGTTTGCACAGCCAAAGTCCTCTCAGACATCATCTCAGATGGTTCATGGAGTCAGGAGAGGGCTGTGGCCACCCACCCACCCCTCACCTGAGCAGCTGGGTCCTGTCAGTGGGGACTGGCTGGGACCTCCCCTTTGTCTGTGAGTGAGCAGCAGCCGAGGAGGGAAGTTCTTCCTCCTCTGTGGGACAGGGAAAGTGGTGCTCTGGGGCTTATCAACACCTGCATTGAGGAGCACAACCCTGTCCCATTGCATGGAGCTCTGAATATCAAGGTTGGCTTAACCTGGCCCCAGGAACCATGGGCTGACCCTAGGAAAGAAGGCTAGGAAAGCAGGCAGGAGAGCCAGGAGGGCATGGAGAATTTATGACCCTGGTCTTCCACAGAAGCTGTGGGAGGAAATGTGGTCCTGAGCCTAACACAGAGAGGGACTCTGCCTTACATATTCTTTTTCCCTGTGTGGAAGCATGGAAATGCCTTCTAATGATGACTTGACCAGCAAACGTCAGCAGGACGCGAGTCTTAGAGAAACATCAAAGAGTTGGGAGAATGCATGGCTATGTCTTGGCGACTCAATTCTCCTTCTTCTGCCTCATTTTAAAATTTTTAGCCAGATCTCCCTGAGTGTTGGTTTCAACACCTCAGACAGACAGAAACAAGAGAAGTGAAGAGAGGAAACAGATCCAGGGAGGCCATAAGAGAAAGTCTGTTTAGAGCTGCATTCCCTCTCTACCTTCCTCGCACTGCCTCCAGCTCTAGTCCTCACCAGGAAGACCCAGTCCGCCCAGCCAGCTGCTCCACCGTCTCTCCACAAAACAGAAGCACTGCAATAAGTCAGTCTACCCTTCTCCAAAAACTGCCTCTCCAACAAGCCCACAAGCATATCTAAAGGAAACAAATGACCCTTTATCTTGAGAGAGAAAATTCTTCATTTTGGAAACAGCCATCTCATGAGCACCACTCTGCACAGTGCTGCTGCTTAGCAGCGATACACGATGGTTGTCACTTCCTTCCGCAGAGACTAGCATTTAACCCTGCTGAAATGTGAATGTTTCGCTCCTCTTACAGATCCACACAGAGTTTGGAAACATCCTGCACTACATTTTCGCTGATGCTTTCCCATGTGACCATTGTTAGGGTGTTTATGCCAGTTTTCCCCTCTTTTTTTTTAGCTGGCCTTGACTAATCTGATGCTAAAACCAGAATGATTTATTATCTCGATAGGCAGCAATTATATCCCATATTCAGTTACAGCCTGGGATGCTGGTGCCAGTATGTTAATGATGAGATACAGGTGATCAATACGATGATATCTGCTACCAGGAAATGCTATTCTCTGAAAGCCTCCCAGCCAAATTAAGCAAAGGTCCCAAAGGTGCTGTAAGCTACGCATTAGAAAAATGAGCATGAGTTGCACAATAATAAAGCTGTCAGGGACTGTAATGCCAGGAGGAATCTTTAGCTCAGGTGCCCTGACCTTTATGCAATATCAGCTACTGAATTTTGCCCAGTTTTATCCTGTGCTCTCCCTGTTTGCTGTACTCTCCAAGTTGCTCCAGGTACACACGTAGTGAGTGTGACCTATGAAAACGACGGAAGAAGCAGCAGAAAAAGCAGGTAGACGGGTCCCACATTAATAAAGGGGATCAGGCCCAACAAACGGCAGCATATTGAAACATTACAGCATCAATGGTCTAATCCTGATCGGATCATTTGTGGTGGCAGTATGTATGGATTACTGCACCGTGTGTACCACTGCTGAGTTTCCCCCCAGTTTCTCTGCCAGACCAGATGCTGAACCCTTTGGCATTCTTGATAAACTCAGTTGGGCACAGCATTTTAAACTCCCTCCCTTTTTTTATTCTTTTTCAGTGAAAAACCAGCACAGCACCGTACAGCGAAACTCGAGGTTAAGCTTACAGGGGACTAGGTGGATAAAATTTTACCCCCTGTCAGAGGGGAAGCAAAGGCAAAGTAAACAAGAAAATTTGCAGGCCTTCTCTCTTTTAAACAAAGACTCCTGTGTTTAAAATAATAAAAATCCACTGTACAAAAGCAAAGCAACTTCCCCCAAAATAGCCTTTCCTGTTTTATCAAAGCATTCATCAAAATTGTATTTCTCCACAAAAATAAAGTTCCAGGTAGAGCACTGGAGGCCTTTTGCTTTGATTAGATAACAGAGCAGCTGAAGCAATAAGTGTAATTGACTTCACTGGTACTTGATATGTCCAAAACACGTCCACATGGCTGAATCTAGCTTTAAATATCCAGAGATGCCATACTGAAAATAAAAATAATGAAATAGAAAAACAAAGTCAGAGAAATATGGGTATTCACAAGCCATCAGAACATGGCTCCAACAGCCTGCATACTGTCTGCATCCATGACTTGTAGCTGCTGTGACTTATCATGGAGCACAAGTATTTGCCATGCTTGGTCAGGCTGTGCCTAGCTTATCTGGTTACTCAGGTGGTGCTTGGACTGACGCTGCCCCTAGGGCTTGACTATGCATGGATTTGTCAGTTTAGTTATGTCTTCTTGATGTACTGATGTATCCAACAGGTAAAACCCCTGGTAGAGCTACAGGTACAGTGATATGACTGTCCCTACAAAGGTATTGCTCATCCTTCCAGGTTTGACTTGGCCTACCTCTTAGAAACAACAAAAGTCACACCTCGTCACTCATATTGCCAACTTTTGCTAAATATTTGTTCTTCTTTTATTATTTTTGAGATAATGGAGTCCAGAAGAAGGTGTAAGCATGGACCACACCAAGGATGGACACTTTATGGGTATCTGAGTTCTTCCACTATCAAGTAGGAGAAAGCACAGAGGCCTGGGATCAAAGGACTACTACTAGTAGGTAGGGGAACGAGGCACCACCAGCCCTCCAGCACCAGGGCAGACATTACCAACTGAGTTA